CAAGAGTTATCTTTCAGAGCTTGATTGACGTTTAATGGCTCTATTTGAGATATGAGAGTTGTGGTAGGTTGCTTGTGATATGCTCTTATTCTCATATGCTCATTCAGATTTCCTATGATCTTTTCTAAGAGATGATCCTTGACTATTAGGCGGTGTAGATTGTTAGGTTCCCTCCTTCCTTCAGATGTATCATTGAGTGGCTTTTCCTGATGATTTTCTCCTTGGCCATTGATTATATCTTATGAAGAAGATGCATTCGCCTCCTTGGACTAAGAATCGTCTATCTGCAATTTAGAAAAGGAGTTGCCTAGCTCTGACTTGTTTAGGTTAGGCTCATGATTAAACTTCACATGAATGGCTTCCTCGACTTTCAAGGTTCTAGAGTTGTAGACTTTGAACGCTCTTAATGATTCTGAATAGCCAAGCATGATTCCTTCATCACTTTTGGAGTCAAACTTCTCCAAATTGTCCTTACTGTTCAAAATGAAGCATTGACATCCAAAGGGATGGAAGTAAGACATGTTGGGCCTTTTGTCTTTCCACAAATCAGAAGGCATTTTGTTAATGATTGACCTAATGTAAACTTTGTTATGAAGATAGCATGTAGTATTGACTACTTCTTCCTAGAAGTGCTTAGGAGAGTTAAAAGCATTTAACATTATTCTGGCCATCTCTTGTAAAGACTTGTTTTCCTCTCAATGACTCCATTTTGTTGTGGAGTCCTTGGAGTTGAAAAGTTGTGCTTAAGGCCAGAGTTTTTGCAAATTTTTTTGGAAAAACTCATTTTCTATCCTTTTATAGAGTTTGCAGAAGGCATCAAATGCCTTGTCCTTGTTAGTCGGAAATAGTACCTAAGTCCACTTAGAGAAATCGTCAACTACTACTAGTCCATAGCGTTTACCGCTCACAAGCGTTGTTCTTGTAAGTCCAAATATATCTATACGAACAAGCTTTAGAGGTCACTTCGTAGAAACAATATTTTTACTTTTAAAAGGCTCTTTGACCTATTTGTCTTTTTTGTAAGCACTACAGAAGACTGTATCATTGTATGATACTTCAGGAAATCCTCTTACGAGATCATGACGTTACAACTTTGAGATTAGTCTCATACTTGCATGTCCACAGTTATTGTGCTATGATATTACCTCATCTTTCATAGATACTAGACTTGAAACACTTTAAGAATGAAGTTCATCTAGGTTTATTTAATACAAGTTACCTTACCTATTAGTTGTAAATATTACTGAACTCCTATCGCCTAATACTTTACATTGGCCTTTTTCAAATACAACATTGTATCCACTATCATATAATTGACTTATGCTCAACAGATTATGTTTAAGGTCATCTACTAACAAAACATTATCAATGGAAGGGAAGATGTTTGTCACATAATTGACTTGTGCTCAACATGGTGCTTGTTAGTTTTTAAAGATAGATTTGAAAAGTGGTTGTCACTAAATTAGGATGAGAAAGGGAGATGAATGGAAAATTGCTTTCAAAACTAAATTTGGTTTTTACGAATGGATGGTTATGCCTTTTGGGATAACCAATGCACATCGTACCTTTATGAGATTGATGAATCATGTGTTGATGAATTTTATCGGTAAGTTTGTTGTTGAGTATTTTGATGACATATTGATATATAACAAACCATAAGAGATGTTTTAGAAATGCTTAGGAAGGAGAAACTATATGTCAATATGGAAAAATGCATTTTTGTACAAATAAAGTTTTGTAGTTAGCTCTAAAAGAGTGCAAGTTGATGAAGAAAAAGTCAAGGCCATTAGGAATTGACTAATTTCTATAGGAGGTTTGTCAAGGATTTTAGCACCATAGCATCCCCATTAAATGAAATTGTTAAAAAAGATATGGGGTTTAGGTGGGAAAAGGAACAACAAGAGGCTTTTGATAGTCTCAAGACAAACTAACACATGCACCTATCTCAACTTTATCAAATTTAAAAATAAATTTGAAAGAGAGTGTGATGTTTTAGATGTTGGTATATGAGGTCTTCTCTTGCAAGAAAGGCATAGTCTCAAACAAATAAACATTGTCATTGTCTTTGATCAATTTCTTCAACTAAAATGAAAAAACTAATTTTAGTAAAAAACAACTTACTCATGTTCTTGATATCGTTAAAAGTTGAATCTTTTACTCTTTCAATTGTTGAACGCCTTTTTTTCTCATTTTTATATTTCTTACAATGAAAACTTTAGGAGTAAAACAACCTAGCATATGAATAGAGTTTAACGGATTGTGGAAGAGATTTTCAATTTCAAAAAATTCATGAAAGCAAAGACAAATATATAGGAAATGAAAGAAGTAGGAAAGAAAGTAATCGCAAAAGAACATAAACCAACATTTTGGATTCTGAGTGAAAAGCAAATAAGTTACCGACTATTCCTCTTGTCAAACATTGAACCTCTACAACTTCAATCGTCAAAACCATCTTCAATAAGGCCTTCCTTTCTGTTTCGACCGAATCCGTGAGGACCCTGTTAAAACGCACAAGCTTGCTTGTAGAAGGCCGGGCGGACGATCACGAACGGTAAAGGCTGGCAGACGAGCAATGAAGCTGCTATGGACCGGGCGGACGCTCTCACTCCAGCTGAAGCGGATCGAGCGGCTCTATCTCCAGGAGCTCTAGGCGCTGCTGAAAACCGGACGGACGCAGAACAAGCGGCTTTGGCGCTTGGTGACACTTGAAGCTGACGAGAGCTGGGCGGACGCTGCTGAAGTTTCGCGAGCTGAAGAAGGCCGGACCAAAACTGGACGGACGGCCACCTTTCTGCTGAGGGTTGGACGCGCTGTGCGTGTGGCGGACGGTATGGCGACAGACTGACGCTACTCCGCGCTTCGGATTGGAGGCTGGACGGGTCTCTCCTTCTGCGCTCCCGGTGGTGGTCCTCCTTCTTCAGGACGGATGGTCGGGTACCTGTCAAAGGCACTCCGACGCTCAAGTCAGTAATATGACAGAGCAGTTTGTGATGCATGTATGTATTGCATCGTAAGGAAAGTTGGTCCAGAACTCATACCTGGAACCTTTATTTATACTGATTGTAATGGGCTTTTACCTTTAGTGGGCCTGATAACGATCCTTTTACCTTTAGTGGGCCTGATAACGACCTAGTCGCGCCTTAATGGGTCATTAGTATTTAACCGTGTAGTTAACCAAGCACTGGACGCTGGGTCCTGTTTGCCCAATTAGGCGGACGTTCGGTTCATGACCGAGCTTGGAGGGTCGCTCGGTCCATGTGTGGCTGGGAGGCGTTCACTTAGACGTTCGGTCTTGGTGCTCGACCCAGGGTGGACGTTCGGTCTTGGTGCTCGTCTCGGGTGGACGTTCGGTTTATGATTGCTGAGTACCGGTCAGTACATAACGTTAGTTTGTCCGCCCGGACGGTCATGACCTTTGGCGGACGGCATTGTGTTAACCGCTCGCGGATGTCTTGGCGTCCGGTCCTATCCTACCGGTACATGGGCCTCCGCCCTGCCATACCTTCTCGACAACAAGGAGGATGCCATGGGCGGCCGGCTCGTTTGGTGATCCAATGACATGGATGTCCTTCCGTACGGCGTCCGGTCCTGCTGGTACATAAGTCCCCTGAGCCCGAGCATAAATTTATTATGCAAAGGGGTTTTGTCCACGCCTGGATGGGCGACCTTGGAAGAACGCTCGATCCATGAAAGCTCGGACAATCGTTCGTTTGGACGTTCGTTCTTTATTTTGACCTTGGCGGACAGCAGTGTTAACCGCTCGCTCGGTATATGCTGGGAGGACCTGTCGGTACACTTTCCATGCACGATGTGTATAAAAATAAGAAAACCTAAGACAAGGGTTACAAGAAAGAAGTAAGGGGGAGATTAAACAAATGAGTGGAGAGGTGGGGAGAAAAAAACATTCAACCGGAAAAAACCAAGGATGACCCATACAAATTTAAATAAGAATAAAAGGTAACATGATAAATTCGTGTATGAAATGATTGAATGATAGAAAAATAAAACATTAGACACGTATCACAAAAGTAAGGGTAATATTCAAATTTTCATAGTACTTCAAATAATTAAAGAATTTAGAAGGGTATCTTGGTTTTGAAAAGAAGAATCTTCAACCAAGATAATTTGAAAATTAAAAAAATATTTGAAAAAAAAATATTGAAAAGGAGAAAAATATACATTTATTAAAGGTTAAATATAAATTTGTCGTTTAACTTTTAGCGAAAGTTAGAATTAGTCCTTTTTTTTAAATTTTAGACTAATTTAATGAACATCTTTATAATTGGATCAATTTAATCCTTTTAACAAAAAATTGTTAAGTTTATTTTTTTCTCAACTATCAAATATGTCAAACATTATAAAGAACTCAAATATTATAATAAAATACATTTGAAATGTCAAATAAAATTTGGTTAAAAAGATTAGATTCATATATTTTTAAAATTGAAAGACTAAATTGGGTTGACCTTTTGAAAAAAAAATCTAATTTAATTTTTCACTTAAATTTAAGAGATAAAAAAATACAAAGAAGTAGACTCATCTACAACATTGGAAGACTTTTTCTTCCTTCACCAGACAATTTGTTGTGTAATTCCATAATTTTCAAAATAGTTCTATATTATTTGTAAAAATGATTTTAGATGATGTATTATGAAAAATTTTCAGAATTTTCAAATGATGTTTGAATCAGAATTTTGATAGTGTGATTTTTGAAAAGAGAATTCTGGAACAGAATTTTGAGAATAAAAATTCTAAAATAAGATTTCTAGAATAGAATTTTTAAAATGAAATTTTAAGAAAAGATCTTCAAAAAAACTTACATGTATTATGAAACAATCTTTTTGGAGTAATGTTTTTAGAATGAATATTTTATAATAAACTTTTCAAAATATATGAGAAAAAGTTTTCAGAACAAACTTTTCCTGTAACTCGTTTTCTCCTTTTTCTTCTTTCCTTGGTATTTTTTCATCTCTTGTTCTTCCCATAGTCCTAGGACGAGGTGCAGTTAGTAATGACTAGGGTGTAGAAAGCAAAAAGCACATAGGAATAGAATGCCCAACCCAATGATCTTTTTGATGACGCCTTTCTGATTCTTTTTCACTCACATTGCGACTACGACTCTTACACAAGAATCATCAGTTCGTTGCGATCTCTCCCCCTTCTCCCTCTCTCTCTCAAACTCAATATATCGGCAAAATTCCACGGTGGGTTTCTCCGATCTCTCACTATGTCTTTCTGTTAGCGGATAAACGACGACTTTCCTAGATCTAGCGGTTTTTCGTTTCTCTTTATCTACTCTGTTTGTTTGGGTTGCAACTTATGATACCCGTGGCTGTTTATTGAATTGTTTTCTGGGTTTTTGTTTACATTTTTATGTAATGTTATCAGTACATATTTGATGCTTTGATTTTTGTTCACTCATGGATCTGATAAGAACCCTTTTATGCTATATGCTTTGAGTTTTGTTATTTCTTTTTGTTTCTATTATCTTTGGCATGGATGTTGAATTTTCTTTTACTCTTGTGTCTAGATTTGGTATTGACTGCACCGGTTGTGGTGGTGGTGGTGGTGTTAGTGTTAGCTTGTTGTTGTATTGCATTTAAGTTTGGAGGAAATGGAGTTGCGAAAACCCTTCTTCTGCTCCTGGGCTTTCCTTTTTGTCGTCGTCTTTGTTCAAGTTACCAATGGGTTTTACCTCCCTGGAAGCTATATGCACACTTATTCAAATAAAGATCCGATATTAGCCAAAGTTAATTCGTTGACTTCGATTGAAACTGAGCTTCCCTTCAGCTACTACAGCCTCCCTTACTGCCCACCTGTCGGTGGTATAAAGAAAAGTGCTGAGAATCTTGGAGAACTTCTGATGGGAGATCAGATCGATAACTCGCCGTATCGATTCCGAATGAATGTTAACGAGACGGTTTACCTCTGTACTGCGTCCCCGTTGAATGAGCACGAGGTGAAGCTACTTAAACAAAGGACGCGGGATCTGTATCAAGTGAATATGATCCTTGACAACTTGCCTGTTATGAGGTTTACAAACCAAAATGGTGTAAAAATTCAGTGGACGGGGTTCCCTGTTGGATACACTCCACCTGATGGCGGTGCAGATTACATCATTAACCACCTTAAATTCACGGTCTTGGTTCATGAATATGAAGGAAGTGGGGTCCAAATTGTGGGGACTGGAGAGGAGGGTTTGGGTGTTATTTCCGAGTCTGACAAGAAAAAGGCTTCCGGGTATGAAATAGTTGGTTTTCAGGTTGTCCCCTGTAGTATTAAATATGATCCGGAGGTCATGGCAAAGCACAAAATGTATGATACTCTTTCGCCTATAAACTGCCCTACTGAGCTTGAAAAGTATCAAGTGATAAGAGAGCAGGAAAGGATATCGTTCACATACGAGGTTGAATTCGTGAAAAGTAATATAAGGTGGCCATCACGTTGGGATGCTTATTTGAAGATGGAGGGTTCCCGTGTTCATTGGTTCTCAATCTTAAATTCTCTCATGGTTATTTCTTTCCTTGCTGGTATTGTTTTTGTCATTTTCCTAAGAACTGTGAGAAGGGACTTGACTAGGTACGAGGAACTGGACAAAGAGACTCAAGCTCAGATGAATGAGGAGCTCTCTGGATGGAAGCTTGTTGTGGGTGATGTGTTTAGGGAGCCTTATTGCTCGAAGCTTCTCTGTGTGATGGTCGGAGATGGGGTTCAAATTCTTGGAATGGGTGGTGTTACTATTGTTTTTGCGGCGCTTGGCTTTATGTCACCAGCATCCCGAGGAATGCTGCTAACTGGGATGATCCTTTTGTATCTTATCCTAGGCATTGCTGCAGGCTACGTCAGCGTACGTGTTTGGAGGACAATAAAAGGAACAGCGGAAGGGTGGAGATCAATTTCCTGGTTGGCTGCATGTTTTTTTCCTGGAATTGCTTTCATTATTCTTACAGTACTAAATTTCATTCTATGGAGCAGTAACAGTACTGGTGCCATACCCATTTCCTTGTATTTTGAGCTGTTCTTCCTCTGGTTCTGCATTTCAGTACCTCTTACCCTCATTGGAGGATTTATGGGGACAAAAGCTCAGCCGATTGAATATCCTGTGCGCACTAACCAGATTCCAAGGGAAATTCCTGCTCGTAAATACCCATCGTGGCTTCTTGTTCTTGGTGCTGGAACTCTTCCATTTGGAACCCTCTTCATTGAGCTTTTCTTCATCCTTTCAAGTATTTGGCTTGGGAGGTTCTATTATGTTTTTGGTTTCCTGTTGGTTGTTCTTCTATTGCTAATTATCGTTTGTGCTGAAGTGTCTGTTGTCCTCACTTATATGCATCTATGTGTGGAAGATTGGCAATGGTGGTGGAAGGCATTCTTTGCTTCAGGCTCTGTGGCTCTTTATGTCTTCCTATACTCCATCAACTACTTGGTCTTCGACCTGCAGAGTTTGAGTGGACCAGTCTCAGCCACGCTTTACCTTGGCTATTCACTGCTCATGGCCATTGCAATCATGTTGTCAACCGGCACCATCGGCTTTCTTATGTCATTCTACTTTGTGCACTACTTGTTCTCATCAGTAAAGATAGATTGAGGTTCTTGCTACCGTTGTGCATTAACTATGCAAAAGGTTAATTGATATAACTTCTACCGAATCCTTTTTGTATCTCGATCACATCCTTTTTATATCTTGATCACAACGCAGAGTAGGGCAACGAGTGGTACTTCATTCTTTGTCTAAAATTGTTGTCAAACGGTTTTATGTTGATGGAATCTGCGGTTTGTTCTGCTTCTGCCTGTTTTCCAAACTGGTGTACTCAATCAAGTAATCAACTGGTGTTTAAGATCATTATGTTTCAAGTATTTTAGTTTGAATGTCTTTAGAAGGATGTAATTCAATCTGTCTCGTCTCATTTCAATGCTGTAGAAGAATGATGCTAGATAGATATATGGTTTCAGAACATGTTGTAATACTCACAGTGCTTCTGGGTTTATAATTTTCCAGCTTCTTTGTGGATTGAAGGATGGAAAGTGATCTAGTATAGGATAGGGAAAGTGACTTATTATATACTATCAAAAGGATTTTATTTAAACTTGATTGTTTGCATTTTTGCTTTCAGAATATTATTATATCAATTTTATTTTAGCGGGTGCAGCTTGTACATGAGTTAATAACTTTTGGTGACGGAAATTATTGGCTAAAGGTAGTAGGCTATTACTTTCTGTCTCCCATCAGATTTCTTCTAGCACCCTATCACTTGTGGAAATTATTTTCTGGAACATAATAAACAATTCCAGATTTTTTTTTTCCCGAAAGCAATCTTCCCCTTGTATTACGGAAATTTTTTTCCACAAAACAAACAACCTTCTATTACATAAGTTTGTGTTTTTAACCTTAAAAAACCTTAAGGATCTTTATATAATTTACTATCAAATCTGTTAATTTCTAATGGGTTATTTGTTCTGTGACATTAAAATGATAATTTATGTATGGCACTTAGCACCGACAACATAGTCGTTGACATTATTAAATTAACATTATTTTTCTAATGTAGCTTTAGTATTGTTTTGTGAATAGTGAAGAACTTTAGTTAGGATAAAACCATTCCAATTGTCTCAATTGACAAGGAATTTATTTAAACTAAAATCAATTCTTATAAAACTTCTTAAGAAGTATAAAACAAACAAAGCATAATAAAATCAAATAAATTAGTGTAAATAAGAATAAATAAAATTAACAACCTAAAGTAATAGAATGTTATGCATAAATTAAATGAAAATAAATAAATAAATAAAACAGAATGATAAACTACCTAAATGCCTACCATGATAATTCTAATAAAGGAAGAATCGTTATAATGTTTTTGGTTTTTAAAAGCAAAATAAGAGGGATAGTTCTGAAATTAAATAAGAACAATTAAATAAAAAAAAATATACAAGAAACAAATACAAGATGGATTAAAATATTTGATTTACTGATATGAAATTAGGTTCATTTTCTTGCTTTTCAAATTATGATTCTTCATTGATTTTTATTAATATTCAATTTAATTTAAAAATTAGAGAACTTAAATTAATTAAAGTTAACACTCAATTAATTTTTTAAAAACCATATTCATTACATCGTATAGGACTAAGATTCAATTCAAACTTTATTTTCCACCGTATATGATTAGAGTACTAGTCTTTTTATCTATTTTTTATTAAGCAAAAAGTTGTTAAGTATTGAATTAACTAAGATACTACTAATCAATTCATTTTAGTTTTTCTCACTTATTCCAATA